GAAAGAACATTAAATAGTCCAACATGGATACCAAGTTGGTTGATTTTTAAATATGCTGACGGACACTGTGATGCGAAGCTGAAAGGGAAGAGTGACGCATGGCTAAAGTGATGAAAACAAACAGTTAACAAAAACCAGAAGTGACTGACAAAACATTTTTATGGTTTAAAATTGACGATGAATTCCTTGTAGTTCCAAAATAGCCCAGCTGTATCACAGCTGTATAAAGCAACATCATTTCATAACTTCCCTTTAGGGCAAGCTGGTGCGGCCAGCCATATTTTGCATAGTACGTAGGGCCCAAGTAATATCAGTTGGTCAATGTTGGCCATCAGTGGTTTTATCAGAATCAGTGAAAACAGCGCTCCTTTATTTAGTCAGTGCATCACCTTTATTAAAGACTGTGAGTTCCTGCTGTTTATTTGGGTTTGAGAAGCATGACAGTCGATAATACTGGCTGATATTGGAATGTTTACCCCCTAAAACTGATATCAGTTGCAAATGTTCATACGGGTCAGGCCCTTGTACCAACCAGCCCAATTACACACTATTAAGATTAGTACATATTACAGCATATAACCTATGTTCAGTATACAACTGGGGCACAGCAGCAATTGAAAGCAAATGGTGCAATGACTGACAAACTAAATTATTAGATGAGCGAGATGCTGGGCAATAAAATCACAGCCTATGTGGTCTTACAGAAGGGCAATGACAGGAGCATTCTTCATGGTTTATAAGGTAAAACGCGGGCCTAGCTTATTACTATCATTGTGGCCTGATGCAAGGACAGGTACTCTGCTTTGGAGGCCGGCATCATTGACCTGCCAGCATTGCATCTAGTTATTGGCTGATTCATTTGGCAGTTACTGGACGCTTGTGTGGCACATGACGGCTTGTATAATCACACTGGCTCGTGCGTTTGGGCCTTTTAAAATGACAGGTATTAGAATCGGTCTCCCACAGCTTCTGAAGAACAGTCATTTCTCCTGATGCAGTCATTTCACTTGGGCCAACACCAAGTCTTCATCAATGGCTCAGCCCCCCAAATAAAGGAAAAATAAAGCAAAAGAAAGAGCTTTGCTTTCAGGGAAGTGGTTGCACATGCACTAGTCCCAGACTTACACAAAGAAAGGGAGGAAAAAAACATCACTACTATGCTCTTGCCAGTCTCCTTTGATTTGTTCTTGCTCCGTCAAGCACAACCCTGCTTGGCCTAATTTTTGGTTTCCTTGCGTTAAATCTGTTGCTAGTTCAGTGTGCCAAGGTGTGTCTTGCTTCACTGAAAGCTGACCACATGGCAAAATGGTGTTAGTAAGAACAAGGTTTCACTGGTTGAGTCTACAATTGGTTTTTCAATAAAAGATATCAACAAAAGATTAAGGTCTACGGAAAAGAAAACAGTTATATTTGATTGTACACCAGTCCCATTGCCAAAAAAATATTTTCCCAATGGTGATTTAGTTGCAAATATGACTGTATACTCTAATTAGAGCCTAATCTATTTAAATAGATTCTAAACTACATTCTCAACACCATAGCCTTCAGCAGACTATAATAATATGGTTTAATCCATTAACATGCAGTGTCTACTGAATCCACACAGAGCCATTTATTCATTCTTTGAGCCTATCAAAGAGTGACAGAGCCAGGCAGTTTAACGGCTCTCCAGTTATTCTTCACGTATCAGCGGTAGAGGAAAGCCAAGCGGGGTCAGATCATTTTTAACAGACTCCTCTTATCACCGGCCCCTGTTTTAAACGCTAGCGGATTAGATACACAAGCCGGCGTGCATATGGGATTGCCTGCACTGCCGGAGCTGCCCAAGATTCGTCGGTTTCGGCATCACAAGCCCCACTTCCTACAACCTACATTCGTCCTAATCAGCTTACCAACCACCGCAACTTTGGGTAGACATGCGAACAACTGCTTGGGCACATCTCGCCTATCTCAGGATCCAAATTAAAGCTAATTCCTGGACGTTCAGAGGGCGCGCAGGCGTCTTCTGGTAGGCCTAACCCATCCACATCCTGACAGGAAAACAACATCCTGCTCTGAAAGTGCGAGGCAGACACTCCAAGTCTTGGCTGAGACCTGACAATTTTTTTCCCCCTCTTTTTTTTTCAAGAGCTAGAGACATTTGTGGGTTTGGGTGTGCTTGAGAGAGCACAGTATGAAATCTCTTCAAACCCCAACAGCACAAACAGGTCCTGACAGATTTGTTCTCCCTAATTCGCAGTAAGGGAAACAGCACAAGTATATTAGAGGTCTTCTTCTGTGTGCTCAGCTGCAGCATGCACGCACACACTCACACACTTACTCACACACACACACACACACACACACAAAGAAAAAGCCAACAATAGACACATTTCTAATGGAAGAGGAGAGTGGGTGAGACTGTTCCGTTTCAATTCACTGATACCGCTAATGGCTTCTTAGCGGTTCCATGAAATCAAGCAGCTGTCAAGTCGATGCATCAGGAGCAGGGAGGAAGAGACGGCATTCCCACAAGAGAAAAGCATCAGCGTCAGGATGTTTGCTTCAACATCTGCTCCCCTGCACTCGCGGCTTTTTTTCCCCCCTTGCACAAGCACACATCCAGACAAAGAGATGGGAGACGGAAGCGCTCACTTCCACATCTGACAGAGACGTTCTGTTAAAACCGCTGCCTGCCCTGCGCATAATGGCTGAGGCATCGGGCTCAATGAGGCTGAGGCCTTACCACACTTAGGTTCAAACCTACCACATGACCAGTTCCTCTTAGGGACCTCCAAGTGCTCCAACCTTCCACCAGACTCTGGTGATGACACTGTGGCATTTTTAATGAGTGATGAAAGAATTTTTAAAAAGAAACAAAGAAGACGCCCAAGAGCTGACCACTATCACATGGTCAAAGAAGGCCTTAGTCATTTCTAAAATTTAGACCTAGTCCAGTCAAGTTCTCTGCAACTTGTAAGCCTACAGAGGTCAAAATATAAACATCAAAATCAGAACTAACCCACCACAACAAACTAGCCTAAACCAGCATGGCTGGGCTTCTGATACCTCCTCAACCAGTCAGTCCTTTGATGGTCAAAAAAAACCTGATTTCGCTAACCTTCACTCTCCCTCTGGTCACTCCGATCGACAACAGATGCTTTCATCCATCTAGTTCCAATCAACCTTCATTCACTTCACTTGGGCTGTGACCTTTTGCATAGTACCCTACAATAGGCAAACCACATGTGCACTCTGACTGATACCAGGTCTAAACCTGTGCACCATGAAAATGACTGAAACACCATTTCATCAGTCCTGCACCTTACAGTGGGAGCTTCCTGGAACAAGCTTCTTAAATAAATAATAAACTTAGCTAATGTCTCCTGGTTATTATGCTACTAACATAACTACATGCATATATTTATACTTGTTAAGTCACATAATAAAGTGTAATAATCATATAGCCTGATTCTCCAGCTCAGAACTGCCCAAGGACCTCTTATAATAATTTATAAACACAGTTGTTTTATCAACGCATTACATCCGCTTCGGCATTAAAAAAGGAATTTGTAGCCAAAAATCATCAATAAACTTTTATTTATAGAGGCAACGTGTAAAAACCAGCACGCCTCGAGCTGGTAATCAAAACAAAAAAAAAAATAATTATGTATATAAATTCGTTACAGATCAAGACAAACAAGCCACAAAATTACATCATCGCACAGCCTGGCACGCAATAGTCTAAAAAAAATCAAACGCTGATGTCATCCGGTCCACCTGTAAACACTGAATAAATAACTCGCTTTATCGCCTAAACGCGATATTACATTGTTAACTTCGCATTCGGGCCACTGTGACAAATGATTTCCCAAAAGAAAATCGATTCGGATCGCATTGCCCCCCTCCCGCGTGCCCAGAGAAGCACCGAGCGACAAAGTCGTCGCTTTCTGCGAAAAACGCTACATATTTGCTTAAACTTCGCATGACGTCACCGCCGCCGCGCTTAAGACATTTCTAAAGTTTTGTGGCTGTAAGACCGTGTGAACGCCGGGTTCGGTCCCGCGGACGGCGAGATCCGGCGAGTTCAAATTAACCAAGATGGCGAGAGCCTTGTTGTTTAGAGGGCAGGGGAAAAATGGAGGATATTGTAATATACACAAAGGGATAAATTTCAACAACTCGGCCAGGCGGCAGCTGCTTCTCTTTAAGGAAGCGACGAAGATAAGAGAAAAGAAAAACCCCCACAACTCACGCCAGCGAAGCGCCCTCGCGGCGAGGCGAGCGTTTCTGAGCGAAACAAAGCGTCCAAAGTGGACCGTTTTGCACAAAAAGGCAGCGTAAAGTGCACAAATAGTGGCTTTTTCGTCTTGTTTTCTCGGGGAAGCGCTGTTAGCTTTTGCCATCATCTGAGAGACGGACATTAAATAGACCAAAGGTAGCGTCAGCGTCAGCAGCAGCAGCAGCAGCTCCCCTACCTCCTCCGATCGAGTGACTCTCCCGCATCACGGATTCAACGTTTTCTGCCTTAAAAAAAACCTCCATACAAACCGAAAATAACGGCTTTTAACGGTCACCGGTCCTCGCGAACGTTCCGCGACGTTTCGGGACCGATTTGAAAGTGTTTATGTTTAAAAAACAGCAGTTAAGCCGCACGCGAGAGGGCACAAAGGCATGATTCCTACTATCAAGTCACTTAACGTTAAGCTACAACCTCCTCGCCTCACAACAGCAACCCGCACAGAAAAAAAAGTTCCTTTTCGTCAGTAAATGCCGTGTTTATCGCTATCAGCATCTCAGACACATCATGCAGTGGTTTCGACAAGTTCTCTCTCTTTAATAGACCTGCCTTTAGCGCTCGAGGGACACCGCGTTAAAGAAGAAACTATCGAGTTAACGTTAGCTCCGTCGCTAAAGAAATCAGCCAGCGACATACACAACATTGATTCGCCACTGAAATAACTGATAGCATGTAGCGCTCACCTCGCGATAAAAGGAGAAGAGGAGAAAAAAAAACTTACCCCCTTTTTTCAGTCCGGACACTTATTTCGCCTAATCCCGCCTCGAAGTAGCGCCTGTTTTCTTTTCCTTTCGCGGTTTGCTGTGTTTTGTGAGAGGCCGGTGTAGCAGGAGATGATGAAGAAGGGAATTGGGCAGTAATTGAGTCTCGGTGTGAGTGACTGTGCGTTGTGTGTGTGTGTGTTTGTGTGTGTGTGCGGGTTACTTACGAACGGCAGATTGAAGGAGTCTCCTCTCAAGGTTTATTCTGCTTCACTTCAAGGAATCAAAGTGACGTCAGCTCGCGAGTCCTTCCTCGCCATAAACTTTCATTCTTACTTGTGAGACTAAATGAAGCCATTAGAGCTCAATTGTTGGAGGCGTTCGCTCAGTTTTCACGCTAGAAAGAAAGATAAAAAAACAATCGCTCTGTCTGTTTGACCCGAGACGCTCGGGCTGTTTGGTTACGAGTTGAAACAATGGCTAAACCAAGTTTCTGACGGCTGGTGAAAATGACTCAGTCACTGGCTGCGTTTTTATGTTATTGTTGTTTATCTCAGTTATTTATGACTGCTCGATAAACTGCTACCTTGAAGTGTCCTGCGGAAAAAAAATACTTCTATTTATCTGTGAAGAAACATTGATTAGCTGACAGGACATTTATTTTGTCTACACCCTTTAAAGGGGGGTTCTTTAGTAAAGGCAGAGGTTATACATATAGAACTGTGACCAAGTGAAGAACCATGAAAACTGGAAAACCTGTTGTATATCATCACTGAGAAAAAAAACAAGTATTCCTATTTTATCAATTTGGATTTTTCTACATTATTTGAGCCTGGCAGCTGTCCTTTATATTAAAGTTTCATGAGGAATGGACCAATAGATTTGCTCCAAAATCACTTAGAATATAAAACCTTTTTACATTGACTTACATTAAAAGTTTAGAACGTTTTTGCCCTCTCCTGTAAAGTCGCTGTTGTAGAGATGCATGTTTTACTTTGGACAATAATGACGTTTTTCTTAAACAAAAAAGGGGGTTCTGCTCTTGTCAGAACCGTTTTTGGTTGTGTATAGAATCATTTTTTGCTAAGAGCCTATAAATCTCTAGATTACGTGAATTTTTCAAATGCGAACATTGAGATTAAGCTTTATTAAATTTATGATCAGAATGGATAAAAACGAATAAGACAGATTAAAAGCTGATAAGGCAAGCATCGATGCATAGGGTCAAATTAGATTTCCACAGGTTTCTACAGTCGTCTACTAAAATGCATTACAGGCTACAGATTAAAACAGCTAATCTGACCCCTTCAAATCATCAAAGGGAGCTAAACAAGAGGGTAACGTTTGAATGTAAAAGCAACATTTCCCTAATCCAAGTGGTGGTGGCATCATCAGCGCTGATGTCATGCTATTGCTGTGAATGAAGACTTTTCCCCACCGCCCCACCACCACCTCTCCTAACAACACGCTTTACAGCGAAGACACAATAATTGGAACTGTTACTTTTAGCATGGCGCTCATTGATCTCTCATTTGAATTACACTCGTAGGCTGCGACGGGAGAGGGCCAGGAATGGCCCTTTTGCAGTGGCGGAGGTGGCGGCCGAGCCGGGCACAGGGCGGCCATCTGTGCCTAATTGTGCGCCTTTTCTCCCCCTGCCTCCGCGCCTTACAATCAGCAACAGGCTGAGGAGGGGCCCTCTGACCCAGACTGGGACAGGGAAGGGGGGGCAGGGGCTGGAAGGGGCAAGAGGGGGGCAGATTATTTCATTCAGCAAGAAAACAACAACGGGGGGTGGGGGTGCCACTCCTCAGCAGAAAGCCAGAGAGCGGGGCAAGCGGGAGGAGGAGGAGGAGGGAGGGAGAAGGGCAAACTCTCCAGAGTTTAGCCCCCACGGAGCGCGCAGATGATGCCACCATTCATAGGCCAAGGCTCGCACATGGCGAATTTTTTTTCCTGCAGCGAGACAGACAGCCAGCCCCCTTTCAGGCCACACCGCACAGGGCAACTCCTGCCTTGCCATTTTGTAATTATTACCGGTTTTAGCACATAAACAAGCAAATTCAGGCCTCTTCTAATCAAAATCAAGCCCGAGTTCAACAACCGCATGTTTGACAGGAGTAATAACACAGGCTGAATTATGACTGGTACATGGAAGCCATAAATGACTATAATTTTGGTTACATTCAGAAAACACTGACTCATTTTGCGCACTGTGGCAGTAATTACTTATGAAATTTGCCTAATATACATGAGAAAAACAAGAACCAAGAAAGAGCAAAAGTACTGGGAAACTGATTGGTTATGGACCAGTGCATGTTGCACATTTCGCCACTAATTGCTTCAGATGTTTGACTAAAATATGCATAAAAAGACAGACATAGTTGAAAAAAGAGGCATCACTATAAGTACAGCTGGTTACATTTTAACATATTAGTACAATTTCAGAAGATCTAAAGGCCAAAGCACAGAATGCCAGATTTTATTCCTTTGTAATGTTTTTTTCATCCAGTTTAAGTGGAAAAGAACTCTAGTAAACTGCGCTTAAGTGTCATTTTTTTGTGTTCACCCTATTTTCAGTTGAGCATAAATACTGGGACAAATGAATTTAAGGCCAGTGATCTCTTTGTACATTTGGTATTTGCTCACAGATGACCTTCTTTTAAGGCCCCATATCATACAAAAATAAATTTGTCCCACTTTGTGAAAGGACTCAAAAAATCCTTGCCTTTGTGAAATAAAAGACTTTAACGTAGGATGTAAACATTGTTTCATAACGTACGGTTCACTCCTCAGTCCTTATGTGGAAACTAAGCTCCAAAAAAAAAAACAGGCAATTTTCACGATTCATCTGTAATGTCACAAAATCTGTCCTGGCACATATCAGCCTATTCAGCCTACAGCAGTTTAGCTCCGCCCATTCACATAGAAGTTATAAGATTCACTTCAGCCCGAGCTGCTTTTCAATCGAGGTTGGAAAATGGTCATGTGAAAATTAATTATAACTGTCATAATTTTTAAATGTGTATAAACTACACAGATGTCATTAGTGGACCTCAGGCGAAAAAAAGAAAAACAAATGTTGGATATGGGCCCTTTGAAATAAAGAGTTTGATGCAGTATGTAAACTCTGTGAAAGTTTCGAAATGAACTGATGCTCATACTGAGTCATTTGAAACATTCCAGCAAAATGAATCAATTCCTCTGATCTGATTTGAAGTTTTGTAATCTGGGTTTCACACATGACCTGACGTCACGTTGGCTGATGGTATCAGCAATGTTTATATATTTTGTGTGAGTTCGCAACAGCAGCTCGGCTAAAAGCAAAATCCGTTCAGTTTCCTTCCTGGACATTAGGTACTTAGGTTTGTGCGTTGAGTCCTTTTGTGATCTTGACGTGTTGTTTTAGAAAGGAGTAAAATAATGTGTTCTACTATGTGTGGCCTTTTTATTCAATAACTCTCTGTCTGTCTGTCTCTCTCTCTCTCTCTCTCTCTCTCTCTCTCTCTCTCTCTCTCTCTCTCTCTCCTTTCTGCATGCTTGCCCAAACAGTACTGACAAGAAACCTTTAAAAGGCCCATTTAATAGATTTTTTCTGATGTTTTTTGCATTTATATATGATGCCATCAAGGTTGAAACACTCCTTATAACCTCAGTGTGAATAGGCGGGGCTAAACTGCGTGGGAAAAAAATGCGTGGGAACAAGATCGAAATGCGTGGCAATGACATAATTAAGTCATGGCAACCTCTTAGTAAGGTGTGGGAACGAGATCATGCCTTATTAAGCTGTGGTCAAGGCTTAATTATCTCATTCCCGCATCTTACTAAGTCATGGCCATGCATTATGTTTATTTATACAGGATGTCACCAGGAGGGCTCCATAATTTCCTGAGTTTGACATATTGAAAAAATATATCAGATGTGCCATTCGTTTTGCACAAGACACATTTAATGTTTTCCTTTTTTTCCCAATATGTTAAATTCAGCAAATAAACAGTAACTGTGCATTGAAATGTGCAGAAGTGTGTTCCCTGTAGATGATCTGTGAACTTATTTTCACTTAGAAAATCAACAAAATAATGTCAAAATAATAATTTGACCAGAGGCGCCCAAACTTTTGCATACAATTACATAAAAATGGTTGATTTTCATGACATCATAAAAACTGTAAATTTAAAAGTAGCTTTTTCCACATATTAAACATTTCCATTAAAAAAAATCCACCATGTGTTGCTTTATCAATTCATACCCAGGAATAAGAAACATGTAATGAGTACTACTGTATGCAGAAGCTGTAGATATAATTCTGACTGTAGTACTGAATCCTGTATGTGATGATGTGGACAGTGTGCATCTCAAACTGCTCTGAAACCTTTGCTTTGAACTCAAGAGTTCCATAGAATCACAGCGTTCAAGATGGTTTACTCGTTTCTCTTATCATCACTGTTGACCAGCCGACACTGTCCATACATGGAAACTGAGCTACAATAGCAGCGTGTTTTGAATGTTTTGTTTTTGTGATGTCACAAAACCCAGCTCATTTACATATTCAGCCTACAGCAGTTTAGTCCTGCCCATTCACAATGAAACGTTAGTATTTCAGCTTGGGCTTCTTTTTGAATGAAGCCTAACAGAGGTCAGCCAACGAGAACAGAAGTCATTTACATATATAAGTCTTAAAGGAACAGTAATAAACAAAAAACAGCCTGTTGAAAGGGGCTGTGTCCTACATTTTTTTCTACGTTAACTATTTCCCTTAATGTCCATTATCACATTTGTGTGGTTTATGTGCCAAAATGCAAAATGGTCGCAATTCATTTTTACTGCCCTTTTTATCCCTTACAATGAAACAGGCTGTTTTTATTACTGTGCATTTAAGACTGATATATAGATGAATAAGATAAATAAGCTCTGTTCTGACTGGCTGCCCTGTATTGTGACAGGTTAAAAAAAAAGCACTCAAGGCTCGAAAAATAGTATATAGTATATATATATAGTGTTATACAACTATATGTATATATATGTGTGTGTATATATATGTGTGTGTGTATATATATATATATATATATATATATATATATATATATATATATATATATAGGTAGATAGATAGACAGATAGATAGATAGATAGATAGATAGACAGATTGATAGATAGATCATATAACTCCAGTATAAATGGGCGATAAATGGACAGTTGGCTGCTGTAGGCTGAGTAGG